ACACAACATGAGGGATCATAATTATGCTGGGTGAAAGAAGCCAGACCAAAAAAAATCTGATGCCATTTATATGAAATTCTACAGAATGTACAATGCCCTGTGACAGTAATCAATCAGCGGTTGCCTGCAGCGGGGGGGACACAGTGTGGTAGATCACGGAAAGGTACAAAGTGTTGAAAGGGATAAATAGGTTTGTTACATTGGGGGTGATGGTTTCACTGTTGTATAGGTTGTCAGAACCCACCAATTTGTATACTTGACATGCGGCTTATTCACCAGTTACACTTCAAAGCTGAAAACATGTTTAAAAACTTAGTTTATCATTTGTTTCGCTAAAGTCTTTTTTCCAATATTTCCAAGTATGAAATTTTAAAGATACACCAGAGTAGGAGGAGTAATAGAACTTCCTTATGTCCCTTCTCCCTAACAGATGTAACACTTTGCCATGTTTGTTGCAGATTTTTAAAGCTTATCCTGTGTGAAATCCCCTTGTACCTTGGTCATCCATTCTTCTCCCTTCCCAGAGTCAGCTAGGCTCTGGCAGGGTTTGTACGTTACATCTAACTTTTCAGAAACATTCCTGTTGCTTAAGAGTGAACTGTAGTAGTATCTTTTAGTGGAAATGGCCCTGATGGGTTTTAGGAAATTGAAGACTGCACAGAGGAGTGGGAACATTATTCTGAAGTCAGCCTCTTCAAACTCCGCTTCCTCAAAAAAATGTATGGCTAGGAAAAATTGGAAGAAACGTGATTTTGCTGGCTGATAAGCATCTTAGAGTAGTGGGGAAGCACAGACATGGCTGGCCAAAAGGAGCTGAAGGTCAGGTTTGATATGCTAGGATTGGTTAGTGCACTTAGAGCAAAAGCCAGAGGCTTGGAAGATGAGAGAGTCCTTCCCTCAGCCCTCCCGTCCAAAACAGAAAAAAGAAGAGGAAGGGAACAGGAGTGCTTACTGTCATTCTGAACATGGTGAAGGGGTCCGGCAAAAAGAAACCAAAGGTAGTACCCAAATGTGGGGTGGGGGTGTGTGGGGGGGCTGGGTATGGAGCTAGCCACCCAAACAGAGCCTCCTCTGTGTTTATTCCGTGGGGTGTGAGTGAAGGCCTCTGCCCATCGTGTGTTCTGTTGGTAGGTAATCCTAGAGCCCATGCTACAGTTTTGTCATGGAGTGAGCCTGTGGGCCTGGCTGCTCACTACAGGAAGTGGCAGTTCAGAAAGTGACCCATTGTGCCAGTACTGTATGGAGTGAGTCCAGGCACACAGTGCAGTATTGGATCCTTGTGCGTGCAGTTTAATTTTTGAATTAAGCATGAATGAGCTTAAGAAAACTAGAGGTTGGTGTCATGTTTACACAAGGATCATGAGATCATGATGGCTTTGGGGTAAATCTTCTCCCAACTTCAGCCCACTCTCCACATGGAGCTGCTCTTCAGCAGCCTTTGTTCACAGGGAGGTACTAAGATTTAGTGTCAGCGCAGTTTTTCTCCTGTGATCCATTTTGTGAGGAGCCGCAGGAATCGTAATATTCTGAGCAGAGTGGACTACTCTAGAGAATAGCAAAGCTTCTTGGGGGGAGGGTTTGGTTTCAGATTTTGAGCCACTCATTTTTTATAAAGACAGCCACCTTACACTGTCCAGAGAAATAATCTCTGGTTGGCTGCTTGTGTCTTTAGATTTGGTACCTGGCAATAGGCACTCCGTTCGCAGCCTCTTGACCACACACAGACCTGGGGGCGCACAGCCCTGGACAGGCTTTCCCCTCCTGCTCTTACTTGATACCACCCACCTGTACTGTGCATCTCCTCGGCAGTATTTCGCACCATTCTGTTTCTCTTTTTCACGAGTTGATATGAAAATTATTTTCTACATCTCTTTTGGAAGGTGCTTTTCTTTCCTGCCCTGTGTACTCAATCGGTGTTGGTTGCTGACTGACTGCAGTCCCTAACCACGCTTTTGAAATAGTGAATATTGAGGGAAAGAACGTAGAGACTACATCTATCATTGTCTGCTTTCTCTTTGACTAACTCTTCTCTGCTGTTTGCTGTCCTTTACCCACAGGTGCTCTTGCTATTCTTCTGGCTGTCCTATGCCCTTTAAAACAAGGAGAAAATACTGCTTTGTTTTCCTACTCTTCCCTTTGGAACACATGGCTTGTTGCACTAAGGAACCATTACTGCCACTTCCCATTTTGTCCTCGACACTGACCATGAAAACAAGTTCACAAAAGAAGATTGACATGTTTCAGTAGGGGTCGTATCCATGAGGGAACTTCAGGGATGACTAACCACCATGGGGTTTGATACGTCTTCAGACCGTCGGAAGGCCAAGAGGGTGGCAGGGTTCCAGGTCTATAAGATGTCCTCAGAGAAAGGCAGGTGTGGTTGTGAGCGTTGCTTTGTGAATTGTGTCTGGAGTATCTTCAGGACAAGTTAGTAAGCCGACTGCATGTAAGTCTACTTACGAAGGTGGATACAGAGAGAGAGACCTGTTAGTTGGTTGAGGTTTTTGTTTTTTTGTTCTTTTAAGCCGTGCACTGCTTTCCTAACCCCACTCCATGTTTCTTATCTTCGGTCAGAGGTATTAAATAAAATACCTATCTGCCCTGCAGGGGTACTGTGATAATTCCATTTAATATAGATCAAGATGCTTAGTGCACTGCCTAGCGTGAGACCAGGGTTTCCTTAAGTATAGGTTTGCATCAGATTTATTATAAGAATTAGAAATTGTTTAATGTGTTTATCCTCCCACTGAATTTAGAAGTTCCTTGCTTTCATCTAATGTTCTCTTCTCTGGCTACCTGCTCACCTCTATCCTGCAACACAATTTCAGGAGACTTTTATTTAAGGAAGATAGATTTGGGGAGAGGTGGGGTCACCTAACAAGTAAACAGTATTATTGCCATTACTTAATTGCTTACGATTAGAATTCGTCATCTGGTATAGTAAGAAGTCAAGACCCTTACCTTTTTAAATTTCAGATTTGACATTAAAATTTCAAGTTGATATTAAAAAATTACTTTTCTTATTTCTAGAATATATATTCTGTATGATATGTACTAAAACTTGCAGTTAACATTTGAATTAGAAATCCATTAAATTGGCATGAAATTTTGAGGCTTATATTTGTATTAAAGGAAAATTGAGGAAGTAGTGTTTTTATTTACAACTAGTGTTTTAGTAAAAGTTCATTTTAGGTGTAACTATATTTAGTAAGAAATTCTGTAAACAATTCCGATTTGTTCCACTAGAGGGCCCTCTTAGAGAAGCTTTTCCTTGTTCAATGTCAATATGCACCTTTCAGGACCAATGAACTTTCTCAGAATTTCCGAGAAAAGATGATACTTATTATTAATTCTTTGAGAATATGTACCCACAGAGTAGTCCTTTCTGAAATGTTGATGGGGCATAGTTTGTAAATTTGCCTTTTTCTCCCCTTAGGTCTCCCACAGATAAAAAGTTTCTGTTGTCCATTAACTGTTAAAGGCTAGACTCTAAGCAGAATTATTAATAAAGCCTTTTTTCACTAGTCTGACTTACATTATCTTAGATTATGGTTTGCTACTTTTCTTTCTGCTCCTTACCCTGAGCAGAAAAAACTCAGTAAGAATTATGGTTTGGGGGGGGGCTTGTAATCAGCTGTCCAGAGAACACATTCTGCTATTCTTACTTGTTGGTGAAGACCGTTCCCCTGTCAGAGCTTCTGTGACCACTCTGGCCTTCCTTCCTGTCCTGTCCAGACCTCTCCGAGGGGCGTGGTGCTATAATGAAAAGAGCAGGAGTTCTAGAAGCAGGTGTGGATGTGAATCCTGACAGCCTGTAACTAAGTGTGTGAGCTCGGACAAGATGCTTTCTTTTTTTAATGTGCAAAAAGGAGAATAATATCACTGTACAGTATTGTGAGAAATAAGGGAATCGTGTGTGAAGCACACAGCACATAAGCTTTCAATAAATAGTAGAGCTGTTTCTTTAATGATAATAATTTTGTGTGTCTTTCTCCTTTTTCACCTATGTTCAGTGCATAATAAAATACTGACATTTAATGGATTCTCAGTAATTATCTGGTGAAGGAATGAATGGGTCCATGAATAAATGATAACTATATGAAAGATACTTGGACAACTACCAAACACTATTTAAAGGTTCTCTTTACATTCAAGTGCTGAGTTTTCAGATAGGAAGCCTACGTATTGTGTATTTCAAATTGTGTTAGAGTATAATTATATATAGCTGAGTTGAACTGTTTCAGAACAAAGCAGATTTAAATTTCAGAGCTCAAGGGGCACCTGGGTGGCTCAGTTGGTTAAGCGTCTGCCTTCAGCTCAGATCATGATCCCAGGGTCCTAGGATTGAGCCCCGCATCGGGCTCCTTGCTCAGTGGGGAGCCTGCTTCTCCCTCTCCGTGTGTGTGTGTGCATTCTGTCTGTCTCAAGTAAATAAATCTTTAAAAAGAGATAAATTTCAGAGCCCTTAAGGATTAATGTCATATGGTATGCTGATATATTTTAAAGTTTAAGTTCAAATTTAATATTTGTCATGATTTTTGAGGTATGACTCTTAGATGATTTGCTTCTTGAAATCCAGTCGTTTGATATACAGGTATACCTCGTTCTATTGCTCTCCACTTTAGTACACTCAAGATAAAATGTTTCGTTAAATCTGTTATGGTCACCTGTGATCAATGAGTGGCTTTGCTGAAAGCTCACATGGTGGTAGTTAGCATTTTTTAGCAATAAAGTATTTTTTTTTAAGTATATACATTGTTTTTTAGACATACTGCCATTGCACACTTACTAGACTCCAGTACACTAAGCGTAACTTTTACACAGTAGGAAACTAAGACATTGATCTGACTTGCTTTGTTGTGATGGTCACTTTATTGAGGTGCTCTGGGACTGAATCCACAGTGTCCCCAAAGTACACCTGTAATGTGGTCTTTTGATAAAGTAGTCCTCTGACAAAATGGTAACCTACAAATTGTCAAAAATTCTTTATCTTGCAATAGCAACACTTCATTGAGCTGGATGAAAGTCGACAGAGATTATTGCAGAAATGTAAGGAGCTGATGAAGAGAGCTAGGCAAGTATGTAACCTGGGTGCAGAGCAGACGGTTCCTCAAGAATACCAGACAGTAAGTATACCAAGTATATAAGGCTGCAAGGTCACATGCTGCCTACGTTCTTTGTCAGCTTCAAGTGTGTTAGGCATTGGAATGGGCCATGAGAAACAAAAGTGCTGCAAGAAATACAGGATATTCCCATTTTTAAACTGAGTATGTATGTAAAGTAATTGTGCTTAATGGATTTTCTTTACTATATTCAAACTTAGGCATCCGTCAGTCTTGGCTTAGTCCTGAAGTTATTAAAGCACGAGCATCCCCTTACACAGTTACCAGTTCCAGAATATCCATTCTTCCATTAAAAGGCTTTTTCCCCCAGGCTACCTTTAAGAGGTAGGGTCAGGAGATAGGGTGTAGTTTTTTATGGAAACCTAGCATTGGTAATTGGTATAAAAGAAATGGTAAATAGAAATGGTATTTTTTAGAAAAAGGTAAAATGAAAATGCTTTCCTGGAAATGAGGGTGTTTATTAAGGCTCAGTGAGACCTGAATCTTTAGGGCTACCATCTGTTGGCAAGAAAAGGAGAAAAGAGGCTTTCCTTCTTTCCTTTCTATTTTCTGTGCTGACATAGTGTTCAGTTAGTAAAAGGAGAGTCTGCTTTGTATTCCACATTCCGCCGTTAATTTTGTGGCCCTGTGACTCTGTTATCTGACAAGAAGGGATCATACCTTGCCTAACATACCAACTCTCAGAATAATGTCAAAATAAAATAGAAAATAGAAAGTGAATTTTTAGATAAAGTATTTTATCTTAATTTCAATAGATAATGAAATGTCTATTTCCCTATTTCAGTAGTTAATGTCTACTCTCTTTCAATAGCTGTTGATATGTCTGGAAAAAAAAGTTTGGATTATAACTTTCAAATCCTCAAAGACTTTACTCTGTTACATCAGACACCCTAGAGAGGGGTTCTATTTAGGTACATAGTAGGGATTTAGTAGGAACATTTATAAGACAAGTAGAGTGGCTGTTTCTAAAAATATGTTAGCACTTCTCCAGATTACATGGGATTATCATAGAACTAAATATTAGTACAATATCTGTACTATTTTTTTTCTTTTCAGAGAATAGTATGATTCTACCCTTGATAAGTTATATGGTTTTTGAAAGAAACATGTTAGAAGATCATTCATGTATTATGAATGTTACCAATCGATCAGGCATTGAACAAGACAGAGATTTCTCCACTGAAGTTTCTATTCTAGTCTGGAGGGTGGGGCAGATAAACGAATTAAAGAGCAGAGAGACAATGTCAGCTGTCAAGAGGTGCTAAGAAGGAAAATAAAAGTAAGAGGATCATGTCAGGGTAGCCTCCTTTGAAAAGATACTATCGTAGAGGATTCCTGAATGGAGAAAAGAAATTAGTCAAGTGAGAGTTTGAGGGAAAAGTTGTCCAGGCAGAGCAAGCAGCTCCATACAAAGCCCCCGAGGCAGAAGTCCGTGTGGCGTATGCCACATGAGTCTCCGTCCGGCTCCAACAAGGTCATCCAGGCATGAAGGACAGTGGCAGTCAGGGCACGGAGGGTCTCATGGAAGGAGTGTGGGCTGGATGTGGAGACAGAGCCCACTGGAGGATTGTCAAGAGGAGTGATGGGCCCGCCCGGAGCGTGGGGAGGAACACGCTGACTGCCAGGTGGAGAAGCCGGTAGGGACACGAGCGTGAAAGCAAGGAGACGACGGCGATTGCTTTGGAGCAGGCCAGAGGGGGGGGCCTGGGCCGGGGGGGGCCTGGAGCGGCGAGTTTACCGGTACGGGGGTCTCTTCAGGACAGTCGGCGGGGCTGGCTGACAGATGTGAGGGCAAGGGCGAGAGAGAGAACCAGCCCCTGGGTTCTGCCCTTGACTGAGACGAAGAAGGTTGAAGGAGAAATAGATTTCCTCCAAGTGGTGGGGCGGGTGGGGGACGAGAAGATCTCTCCTTGACCGTCTACAGCGGCAGGTGCCCCTGCGGGAGTCCAGTGAGGATGCTGGGCACGTGTTCGGCCCCGGGTGAGAGCTCGGCGGACAAGTCACTTACTGTCTGAAAGCCTGTACGAGTTGAACTGCTTTCTGAGCAGACACAAGACATAAGATTAAAATACTAGATTCATGTCGTATTTCAGGATCTTTTTCAGGGTGTCGAGATTGATTCTGTATCCCCTATCGTATGAACTTTGCAGGTTATGCCGGCAAATCAGTGTACTGCTTTCTTCCCAGATAAGAAAGCGTCTGACTTGTCTCAATGACCGGGACTCAGAAGGTAGTACAGCTGACCCTTGAACCACACGGGTTTGAACTGCACGGGGCCACTTGTATGTGAATTTCTTTTTCAGTAAACACAGTACTATAAATGTACTCTCTAGCTTACCATAAGAGTACAGTATATGAAATACGTACCATTACAGAATACGCGTCACCTCGCTGCTGACGTTCTCGGGAAGGCTTCCAGCCGCAGCAGGCTCTTGGTGGCTGTGTTTTTGGGAAGTCGAAAGTTACACATGGACTTTTGACTGCACAGCAGGGGTCAGCCCCCCTCACCCTGTGTCGTTCGAAGGTCAGCTGTGCTGCAGCGGAATTCTGCTGTCAAAGTAATCGGATTCTTAAGATGCTTTTGTCGTTCTTCATAAGTACAGTATAAAGTTCTAACTTCTTGCTCTCTTTCAATGCCCCACATATTCTGGACCCATTCTACCAATTCAGCAAGTACCCACCATTCCAAATGGACACAACTCCTCACCCCCCATGGTATGCAGCACTTTCTTTTTTCCAAGCTCCTCTTCCCTCTCTGTCCTGCTTTTCCCTGGCTCCTTGCTTGAAGGAAGCCCAGAGGCTTCTGGGAAAGTGGGACCTCTCACGTCTCTTAACTCCCTGTAGCTCCTCTAGCATGAACTGGTATTTCCCCTCTGTCAACCCCATGTCCCTGTAGGATAGAACTACTTAACTTTAATACTCAACACCAATACTCAGCCTTAAGATGTTCTCCCGTGTTAACTAAGTGTAAGCTTTTTGAAGGCAAAAAACCCTGTTTAATTCCTTTGAGGCCTTGTATGCTAGCATGCTGTTGAACACATAGTAGATACTTAGCAGAACATTTAACTGTTCAAATGAAACTGCTTTTCTGGACTATTTGTAATTATAGACCATCTTTTTCTCCTTTAGGCTTTCCAGGATCTTCCAAACACATTGGATGAAATTGATGCTTTATTAACTGAAGAAAGATCAAGAGCTTCTTGCTTCACAGGACTGAATCCGACAGTATGCTTCTTTCCCTATTGTCTACCTCAAGCCCCGCCACCCCCCCTCCCCGCACACACCGCGCACGCGCACACACTTCCCTCCAGTACTCGCCTCCCACTCTGTACTAGAGCTCTCGGTAATAATAAGCTAGACAGCAGGAACAATGTGCTTTAAATGCCAGATTCTGAATCTATTAGAATTTTAAATAGACTCTTCCTAAGGAACACACTGTTCTGTGCCTTTCCTTTTATAAAAAGAATCATTGGGCTAACCTGAAATACTGCAGTGTCTATTTTTTCAAGGATAAAAAACACGTTCAGTAGAAGAACATAAATTAATTGCATACAAACAATGCAACACCATTGGCATTTTCTGTTAGTGTTTTAATTGATGCTAAATTTCCTGTGATGTTATCCTTTGGTGGATTTGTCTTAAATAATTATTTCCTGCCAGGTGGTTGAAGAATACACAAAAAGAGAAGAAGAAATAGAGCAATTAACTGAGGAACTAAAGATAAAGAAAGTCGAACTGGATAAATACAAGGAAAACATTTCACAGGTAATTATTTAACCTTTAACTTTTTGTCACATGCTTATCTTTTATCATATGGGGATGTAGAATAATGCAAACTGAAATGACATGCTTCTAGAAACAAATGCGGTGTCTGTTCTCATGACTAGATTGATACTGAATTCATTTTATGGACAATTTTCTATCAATATAGTAATACTTCTTTTAAATTGTGCTTTTATATTGAATTTATTTGCAGGTAAAAGAAAGGTGGCTTAATCCTTTAAAAGAGCTCGTAGAAAAAATTAATGAAAAATTCAGCAATTTTTTCAGTTCTATGCAGTGTGCTGGTGAAGTTGATCTACATACAGAAAATGAGGTAATATTGCATTTGAATCAAATGTTTCCTGGCAAGTAATTTTAATTAGATGCCAAAAGTATGTGTAAATTTTTGTTTATTCTAGAGTTTTACCTGTGAAAACTTCGCCTACTAAAAAATTGTTCAGAGGAAGGAAAACACCACCTATGGGAGTCCAGCAGGGTCACGTTGTGTGTATGTGTATGTGTGTGTGTATGTGTGTGTGTGACATTTGAGACAAGCCTATTAAAACTCTTTATATCCAGATAGGTAATGGTTATTCAGCTATGAATGATTTGCTTTATAAATCTACCACTGTCCATGTTAGAAGAGTCCCGAAGACACTGGCAAACAACTGAAATATAGTATAGTATCAGTGGTTTCCTTTTGTAATCAAGATTTTAAGAGTATACAGGAATGAAAATATTTGGAAATTTGTTACTAATTCTTTGAGCTGTAAGTTAACGCACTGCCAAATGGTAGGAAAAATTTCCATTCAGAAATGTGTAAAGTGATGAACCTGGGATTTGCTTTAAAGTCATTGAAAAAGAGGAGAGGGTAGAGTTAGAGATGAAACAGGATTGGTCCTGTGTTGATCATAGTTGAAACTAGTTGGTAGTATACTGAGCTTATTTTAGTGTTCTAATTTTGTGAATGTTGAAAAATTGCCCTAGTTTTTTTCTTAGGACAGAAATGGAGACAATAAAAGATCCTTTTCCTTCACAGCTCAGCATCTTTGTACTTTAGCTTGTATGCAACTTCGCATGTCTGTTACGTATGTAGTTGGAAAGCAAGGTAGTGCTTTAGGAACTTTGCCCCGTGACTCCTTCACCTGCTTGATATGAGACATAAGGGTAGCCAGCATCATTTCACTTTTCAGTCCTGGTAAGATGGTAGATTCTGGCACAGTGATGTCACTTACAGTCTTTGGGCTTGTTACAGGTAGTAGCAAATGTCATTTATGATATACTGCCCACATGCCAGGCACTGTGCCAAAGCCCTTCTATGTTTGTTCTGTTTCATCCTCTCCATTACTCTGTAAAGCAGGTACTTTAATCAACTTTCTTACAATTAAACTCAAACAACAAAGTATCAAAGAACTAGTGGCTCTCTCTAAGCCTTTAGGGATCTTCAAAGATCTCTTCAGATACAACTCTTACCACTAAACTTTTTTACTCTTCTGATGGATTTATTCAGTCTATTTTCAAATGGTTGTATGAAATTGCTGGAGAAAGCGGTAACCTGTCAGCAACGTTTTAATGTTTTACAGGAAGACTATGATAAATACGGAATTCGCATCCGAGTCAAGTTCCGCAGCAGCACACAGCTGCACGAGCTGACCCCACACCATCAGAGCGGTGGTGAAAGAAGTGTTTCCACCATGTTGTACTTGATGGCGCTTCAGGAGCTTAATCGATGTCCGTTTAGAGTCGTGGATGAAATCAATCAGGTGTGGTGCTTATTCTTTTACTTGGGCTTTATTGTAGCTTATAATCGATGTAAATGTAATCATTATTACTGTCATTGTTTAGGGAATGGACCCGATCAATGAACGGAGAGTGTTTGAAATGGTTGTAAATACCGCTTGTAAAGAAAATACATCTCAGTACTTCTTTATTACACCAAAGGTAGGTAGTAAGTCACCGAAAAGTGCTCATGTACTCAGAAGTTCCCTGTGGCCTCATCGCGGAGCAGTAACACTCCCAAAAAAGGAACTAAAAAGATTATAGTAATACTTACATAAAGGGGACAAGTTCCAGTGACATACTTCATCAGAAACTTTATTATTGGAAGAAGAAATGTAAGAGGCATAGAATTATGTTCTAGAACCAAGATTTCCTCCCCTCTTTTGGCACTTACTCTTCATCTAGGGAAGTTCCTCTTTTAGTACTTTTTAAAAGAGGCAGGAGAATACGAACCCTCAAGTTCTGGCGCTCCTCATTTCCCCAAAAAGACCATCTGGTCCCACTGCCCGGGCGCAGGGGAAATCTTAAGTTACCCTGACCTCTCCTCTCCTCAAATTAACATGGATAAAAACAGAATTATCCTTACAAAGAATTTTCCATTCTAGAGCTAGAACCATTACAGCAGGAAATGTTCTTTTGTTACGTCTTATGCTGTGGCTAATTTGTAGGACCAATATACTCAAAGATGTGTTTATGGATATTACTGGATTTTCTTTTGCAACTAAGTAGCCATGAAAAATTTCACTGGAGTGCCCATCTTCAATGTGCATTTCTATTGAATATTATCATCGGTCTTCTTTGCCCAGCAGATACTCTCTGGAAGAGCCAGACCTGTTAATACTCTTACTTACTAAACACCCTGGCCTATAAGCCCACCCCTCTGGCACACACTTTGCAGGCTACCGATCTTTCACAGACCATTCCAGTTGTGCTTGTGAACTATTTGTGGATAAATGAGTTCAAGTATGGAGCCTAGGACAGTTCTGAAGGGACATGCTTCCAAGGTCAACCTGGGCAGTTGTAGGATCTTATTTAGCCTGGGAATGCTGACCAGGCCTCCGTTGAGGATTCTTTAGGCCAGGTGTCATCTGTGGTAATTCAAGTAAGGATCACAGTCTGGCGGGGTGTACCTGTTGAATTGCCAACTTCCTAAGTGTTTCATTAATATTAGAAACATTTGACTTGACACATATAAGTTTGGCAAATTGTGCTTCTTAATGTATGGCATCATAGGACCGTTTCTTTTCACACTTACAGCTCCTGCAAAATCTTCCTTATTCAGAAAAGATGACTGTATTGTTTGTCTACAATGGTCCTCATATGTTGGAACCTAACAGATGGAATTTAAAGGCTTTCCAAAGGCGGCGGCGCCGTATCACGTTCACTCAACCTTCTCAGTAAAAGTAAAGGGCGAGAACTTTCGAGTTTTTTTGGTTAAATCCTGTTTATAAGTATGGCTCACCTGAATAAAAGGAGATTCATTAAGACTAAGAGATGGGTCATTTTTAGAAACCTGCTGTTCTATACAAATGGGTTGATGAATGGACACCGTAGTAACTTCTTTCTGTGGAACCTCATCTGATAGAAATTAAGTCTTCAGTTTCTGTTGAACTTAAGTCCTCGGCCCACTGACCATGAGTCATTGGGTTCCCGTGGTAAAAAGTATTTACTGTTTCACATCACAGGTACAGGGGGAGGGGCTACCCATCACAGGAAGTGTGGTTGACCTGATAATCCTGAGCTTTAATTCCAGAGGAACTTTAATTACTTTGAGTCTGAAGAGGACTCTACATCTCAAGTCATATTTAATTTTTAAAGAATTGATATGGAAATGTCTAGTGTATAATAATTTATGACAAATCTATTCATTCCTTCCTATTAAAAAGGATTACCTTATCTCCACTAGGAAATGGAATTTTATGGGCCTTTAAAAAAATTTACGAAACTTGACGTTGTAATTGTATTGGTATCTCTAGGGAAAAACATACTGGGCTTTGAAAATGGTAGCAGAACGTCTTTGAAATGCCACAAGATGGACACTAGATGATACAACGTGCAACCAAAAGATTGACAAAAAAATCAAGTAATAAGGGTTTTTAAGGAATAACCCTGTAAAGTGTGTGTGGGTTTTGTTTTGTTTTAATTTAAAGTCAATTGTATTTTACATCTTCAATTTCTAAAAGCATTTTTATAATTATTTTTAGTAAGATTTTTTTCTTAAGATTTCATATACTGGTTTCTACAATTTATATTTGAAATTTCTCAGTGTTATGTCAAGAATGAGGGAAGCACTGATGTGTTTTAAAACATGTTTCTAGAACCTAATCTTTCAGGTCCTTCCTTACAGTGTTGCTCCTGTCCCATTGTCTTAAAAATCTAGTTTAAACTGAGCAGGAAAGAATTAGATGAGAGAATCATTTATCTCTAAGTTACACTAATTAACAGTGCCAAAACAAATTCTATTCTTCTAAAAAATAAAGCTTGTGAGATAGTGGACTAATCCAAGAACATGTCTCTGAACAGCAAATTGGATCTGTGCCAGAAATGACAAAATTTTTTTTTTTTTTTTTACTTGACAGCATGAATAAATTGAAGAGTTGCACTTAATTTGGGTTTTGTAGATTCATAAATAGCCATGGAAATTTATATTCTTATTAGGTCAAAAAATAATGAACTGTAAGTCTTTACCCTCTCACTTGGACATTTTCTCTTTAAAAAGGTAATTTTTTCTTGAAAAAAATTTTAAAAGAGCTTTCTCCTCTTAGCCTATTGCATGTATTATGAAAATATTTTAAAATAACATTTTTACTATGTAACAACTCATGTAAAACATTGAAAAACTTGGTAACCTATTAGTAAGTGGATGTTGTTACCAAATGTTTCTGTTGTTTAATACTTTGTTTTCCACCAAAATATCTTTAATATGTGCTTACTGTCATTTGTTTATTGTCTGAGTTAGTGCTGGTCATCTTATTTCTGCAAAATGATTATCAGTGTGAAAAAGGCGCTTGAAGATGAGGCGTGTTTGGGGGAAAAAAAATGGTCAAGTACATTTCAGTTTACATATGGCAGTAATTACTCCATACCTTGTTTGTAAGCATTTTATATTTCTCTACTGGACAAAGTTAATACTTAGTTTTACATTGGGTTTTGAGCTGTAAAGGAAAAATTATGTATCATTTTAACATACTAATAAGTCTAACACATTATATTCTCAGCCACTTAAAACTTCATATATTTTCTGCAGAAGTTGATTTCTAATTACATACAAATTGTAAAAACGCCAAGTGAAAGTCTGATTTGATTAATAAAATATTTAAAACCTGAAGGTGACAGGTATTTTTAATGAGAAAATCTTCACTGATTTGCCTAAGGAGAGTCTCTATTCACAGATTTTTAGTGTTCAAAGTAAGATTTTTTTGCTGCTTTCTGATTTTTTGGACAAGTGCTTATTTTCTTTGGCATATGAATCTTTAGTATGTGAAAAATGTAATTTTGTCCTGCTATAGTGTGTGTGTGTGTGTGTGTGTGTGTGTGTGTGTGTGTGTAACTGGGGAAAAAATTCTCTGTGGGAAATGCTACTTTGTTGGTAATAAATGCCTATTTTCATATTCTTTTGGTGTATGTTATTTTAAGTAAGAATTGGTTTTACACTTTCAACCTGATTAAGAGTCATTCTGGTTTTCACACTTACTGAAAAACAAGTCTGTTCAGTGTGCCTTTGCTGGTCTGTCCCTGGTCAAAAGCATATAAAATTTAGTTCTTTGCCTGCCTGCAAGGGAATTACAGTCTAATAGCAGCAACAATGAACACAGTGAAAAAGGTTTAAGCCGTCTCAGGAAGCCAAGGTACAACGTGTGTAAACATTTTTAGATTGTGAATATTTTTTAACAAATCTAGGGTTTCAATTTTTTTGTCTTCATACATTAAGCTGCTATCTTGACTCATTGTGAAATGAGGATACTACTTCATTCACAGTTGTCGAAGGGAGCAGATGAGGTACTGTGGACACTTTATAAGTGTTTGCTTTTCCTATTTTTTTCTCCAGCTTTATTGCAATTTTGTATTTAAATTTTTCTAAAATTTACTTTAGAGAGAGCGCACAAGCAGAAGGGGCAGAGGGTAGGAGAGAATCCCAACCAGACTCTGTGCGCTGCGTGCAGAACCCAATGTGGGGCTTGATCCCATGACCCTGAGATTGTGACCTGAGCTAAAACCAAGAGTCAGATTCTTAACCGTCTGTGCCACCCAGTCCCTCCTTATATTTTAAAATCTTAAAAAGATGTAATATACTATGTATTTTATCCATAAGGTCCGAGAATTCCCTTTTAAGTGCAGTTAATGCAGCATTTTTATTCTATTTTATGCACTGTGTCAGTTGTTCCAAGGACATAGACCCCGTAGGTTTTGAGTGGGCCTTTCTAAGTACAGATAAAATTGTGAAACACCTTCATGATATTTGAACTCATTATTCTAAGTATCTTAGAGTAGCTCATCTCATTCCTTTATCCTCACACCATATGTTTTGGAAAACTTGTAATTAATACAATTTGCAAATTAGGGAGATTTGACTCTTGACAATTCAGGCTTATTTTTTATTGCCCGTGGAAAATTTGTATTTTTGGGATTTTTGGTTGTTGAGATCTAACTATTCACTCATTGCTCCAAAATAAGTTACTGGTGAGCGGTTGGGGTTAAAAAGCTGGCTTTTAAAAAAAAAATGCGCAAATCTTCCAAAGATAAACAGGGCTACCCTGCTCTGTTCCCTTCTCAGAGGATTTGGTGAAGCTGAGCTCTGACTCTGTGGGCCCTGGTGGCATTGGAGAGACCGGGGTGTAGGTTGGCTATTCTGGGGCAGATCAGAAACATGAAGGTTGTTCTGCCACAAATACTTCCTTACCTATCTGATCATCCATTAGTAAAGTTTTAATTTCCTTTGGCCTCTCAAGAGCATGCTTACACACTCGGTGTCCAGGGCCATGTGTTAAAATGACCCCTTGGCACCCAGTCCCTTCAACCTCCACTCTTATCATTCCTGCCAAATATTCATTAAGGAGTGGGTTGAAACCCATCATTTCAGAGTAAAAGATTCAGGAAAACTGTCCAAAGAATATGATAGAATAATTTTAAATTCTGTTATTATTTAAAAATCTTCATTTAGTCCCAGTGAGCTCTGTGACATGTTGCATTCTTTGCTTTCAAATATTAGCTGTTACACTTGGAAACGATCCCCCAAGTGGCTTAGATCATCCTCCTCTTTTCACTGTCTTAAGTCATGAAAAGGAATCATTTGAGTGATTTAGGCTAGCACCGCTAAGCCTAAAGTTATTTTGTAAGTAGAGGGAATAATTTGTTTATAAGCAGTATTATACTTTCAGGGTGTTTCCACCCAACAGCCCTGTACTGTAGATTAACAGAAATTTAGCAGCAGCGTTAAGACTTTTTCAAGCTTTTACTATCAGTAAATGGCACAGGCGGGGCTGAAGAAACAATTCTTTTCCAGAACACTGTACTGCCTTTTTAATCAAGATACCTTGCCTTTTTGATTGTTGGGAGCTGTACCATAAACAGTTGCTGGTTACGTAATGCACTTCGTTGTGGCTAAAACAGTGCTGTTCCAATACGCCCCTGAATTAGGGTACAAGTTCTGTGGTAACAAAAACCCAGATGTAGCTTATACAGGATAGAAGTTTATTCCCTTCTTAAAAGAGCATAAGCAGTCTGGGATTCCTCACCCACTTCATATTTTGCTGCTCTGCCGTTCTCAAGAAACTATGGGTTCCTTCTCATTCGTGCTCCAAGATGACTGCTCCAGCTCCTGCCAACTTTGGTATCTCAACAGTGAAAGGAGAAGGAGGAAGACGTGGCCACCCCCCCCCTTTTTTTTAAGGTCTTATTTGAGAGAGGATGAGAGTGAGAGCATGAGCACACAGGTGAGGCAGAGGGAGAAGCAGACTCCCCACTGAGCAGGGAGCCCGATGCAGGGCTCCATCCCAGGACCCTGGGATCATGGTCTGAGCTGAAGGCAGATGCTTAACGACTGAGCCACCCAGGTGCCCTGACATGGCCGCTTCTTTAAGAGTACTATGTGCAAGAGGCCCAAGTTACTTTAACTCTTGTCCAGGACTTAGTCACATGGCCTGCAAGAGACTTGACTCTGTTAGCTTTAGCTATGGGCTTATGTACCTAGTTAAACTCCAGCCACTATTAAAAAAAGGGGGTAGAGGGTGACTATAGGGGGATAAGTCTCGGATACTCACAAGGCTTGGCACATCCTGTTTTGGGGTCTGTTAAAAACCTAATAGGCTGCTTGGACAGGCACAAATATATGAGAGACAAGAGCTAGGGCAGGATTGAACAACAGGGTTTATCTCCTACATGAATTCACTTCAAGACTAGGAGAGGTGGCAGCTTCATCTAATGCCTAGAAACCAACAGAGTCAAGCAAAATGAAGCAACAGAAAAGTATGGTGCAAATTAAAGAACAAGAA